GTTTTAAAGCCTATAATATAGTTTCGCTAATAGATGAATACATTGTATGGTGAAAACTGTGAAATATTATTGGGTTGTATTGTTATGTTGACATTCTTCGTGAGCACTTCTTTGTGCCGTAACTTTCTATAGTACGTAGACGAGTCTGGTGTCGTTTTTACTTCTAATTTATTAAACACATATCCCATTAGTTTAAGAGTAAATATGAGTTTATGAATCATTGTGTTTTTCATCAACTATTTTGTATGGCCATTGGTAAAGTCCCCAAACCATATTCCTAAAAAAATTCTCTTTATTTGAGTATTTCAATTATTAGCTAAAAGTATATGAACACACAAAGGAGCGACGCGGGCGCAGTTAGATGCGTCGAAAAAATGGCGATCAAACAAACCGCACTCATTATGCGCATGCTCTTAAACCTTCGGAATTGAGCAGACGTCGATCAACGTTAACGATTATGATGATGCACGCATCTCGACAGTATGAGACCGATGTGATATAAAGTAACATGCGACTTGAAACGGCTCGTCAATTTTAAACAATTTTAATTCTGAAACTTCATAATTTTTAAGAATTTTAATTCTTCGTAATTACGTAGTTAATTCTCTATTTTAATTATTAATGAGTTAACAAAAATAAATATGTGACACAGTTACTGAATACAAAATAATGTATCAATAGAAATAGTTATAATTTGAATTCTACATTAAAGCTTCACATTTATAATTTCTATAAAATACAATTTTAATATAAATTAACAGTCAATCTGAGAAGCAAATAATAATTGAGAAAAACATAAATAGTAAAAACAGCTCCAATTAATATTTTTATACAGATTTGTATATAAGGTTGAAGCCCATGTGTTGTATAGCGGCGCATACAAGTATATAAGACGACTACCACATAAAGTTGCATAATTTGTTCTTTCCGTTATATTCCTTATATATTTTTCCATTCCTCAGGACAAGGGTGCTATTTACAGCCATAATCTGCAAATTCAGTGTGATACTAACGCTTGCAACATAAATAGAAGAAACAGTTGTAGGACACGCTGCGGCACAAGCTGAGTGGAGGCCCTTTCAGCTCATAGCGAAATATTAATTTTTAAGATTTCTAAATTTTTACTCTGTACTGTGATGCTGAATAAATGATTATTACTATTATTATTAAAATATTAAAGTTTTCTTATATGTAATTTCACTATATTGAGTACATGTAAATAGAACATTTCAGTTTCTTTATGTTTGTGGGCGTAGAACTAAGATTTCAATCGATCGCCTGTATTTTATAAGTGTATATATGTACTTATCTGTAACTTGTATCTATAACATACATATATATATATATATATATATAGGAGTATCTACTTATAATTCGAAGTTAAATAATGAGATAATAAGAATGCATAATTAATACGAGACCGAGTTAAAGCAAGGCTCTATTATTAATATATGCAAATTACTATTACTTTATCAGAACACAATTGGTTATAAAAATAATCGTTTCTATTATTACATGACTTTTTATGGAAATATACGAGGACGTAGGTGATAAATTAAATAATTATACATAAGTACTTTAATGTGTTTGCGTCATTTACTTATTTATGACTTTTCTATATTAATTACAAAATGGTTTTATCGTCACTAGTTGAAATATGAATCCGCTTTTTACGTTGTGATTGTTTAATAATCAAGGCGACACTAAATAAGGCTTTATTAGCAAATAAAATGTTGACCTTATAAAGTGTAAAATGGGATAACGCAATATTAAGTTTTGACCAAGAGACATAAATAAAATTATTAAAATCTACTTCCGATGTTTACAAAATTATTATTTTGACCTCATTCACGCTTTATAAGTCAATTATTAATTTTTATCTAAGAATCCTAAAAAGACTCTCCGTTGAAAGTAGTTAACCAATGTCAATTATTAATTCAATCATAAAGGTTAGTCCTTTTTATGTAACAACTTAATATTTTTGTTTAAACGACTTTCATATGACATATAGTATTATTTATTGATTTTGACTTATTAGTTAGGATATGTCTTAGAATTTAATTTATAATTTTCCAAATGGTGATGGTTATGACCTATTTTATAAGAACGTTACTTAAAGATAGGGAAAATTTACTTATCTTAAAAAACTCTTTAATTTTTTTCAATTTTTAGGCTAACTGTCCGATAACGACAAATACTGTAAACAAATTGAATAACCTCAAGAGTCAGCGGTGAGCGTTTGCTAGATTTAAATTCCAATATGCAATATATCCGTAAGTATGATTACAAACTCACATTGAGTAGAATGTGTTTTCAACTAAACACCAAATAGGAGGAGTTACATTTCAGTAACTTCGTTGCCTATTGCTAGCCAAGAACATGAAGTGAAACAGAGATATCCTTTTTTTAAGTATTCAGTATGGCAATGACGGTAATTATGATAGGGCTAATATTATGCCTCTGTAGTGTAATTTTACTGCCGTATCACACCTTAGACCGTCACACAGTTTACAAAGCAAGCTGGATGGCAAATAGAAGATGGAATTGAGTTACCCACGTAGATGTCTAAAAACTACGTCGGTCTTATGGTAACAGGAATGTTGTAGAAACAGAAAAGAAAAATCTGAATAATATTTTTTTTTATTTTACCACCCATATTAAACGCAGACTCATCACAAGAAGAAAGATCAAGAATCGTGAGTGCGAATCGCGCCCTAGTGCGCTTTCCAATACAGCTTCTCACATTTCCAAGAAGCTGTCATCATCTGCCTAATTAAATTGCATGTTGGTATAGCTACGTGTCAAACTGTCAATGACAATTATTGGTCACTTCTAGGTCACAGAGTATCCATGTTAGGGTTTAACGACCAGCTTCATCGGTCAAAAGCGATTTAATTGAAACACCATAAACAGTGCCTGGAGGGCCACACCTGCGACATGGTAACGAGCGCTCCACCAGTAGTTTAACTTGATGGTTTTTATATAGGCATAGAAGAGAAATTTGTATTTTCTCTTATCTGTAGTTTATACAAAAAATACGTTTCCTCACTATAGATAACATATATTCGCTGCGAAGTACAACTGGTAATTGATAAACTAAAAAAGCGGATTATTTTTTTAAATCAATGTAAAGGACATTGATTTAAAACAAAAAAATAATTATTTATATGTAAACTATTATTATAATAATTTTTGTTTTTAACACATTATCAGTTAGTAACATGTCCTATTAAATTACTGGGAGAGTATGGGAGGAAAAGAATATACGAAAATTTTAGCAAGGAAGATAGTTTCGAAGTTTTCATCTGCGTGAAATCGAGTGATGAATAACGAATGACATCGTGAACGTTTGATAATAGCGGTCAGGAAATCAATAATATGATATTTTGCTGGAAAGCACTTGACCACGTCAGTGTATTTGAAATAGAGTAAATACATTATTTGTCATTTAATTCTTCTTATTAAGATCCGAAAACAATAATGGACTATTGTATCCGAAAGTTAAAAATCATAATCTAGTATATATTTACAAAAAAAAAGTTGAAAATGATAATATTTACGATTTTTTTGTGATATGTGTCTGGTCTATGATCTTAAATTACTGTTTATATTTTTAATCTATGGTAGTACGATCGGACGCGTGTACGCATTTCCACAAGGCAGTAATTTAATGACACACACATTATTCTTGCAATTGGCTTTCGAGAAATACTGAATATAGGTACTATGTTAAGTTTTAGACATATTTTATTTCTATGGTTTCATAGAGAAAACGTATTTAAGTATGTAATTTAAATCTCTTAGACATTGTTTTTACCATTAGACTTATATGAGGACGACGTCAGATACGTCAGGTGTTGGTAAATAAGACGAAATGGGATGAAAAATGGATGAAATAAAAGAAGTTATATATATTATAGACATTGAAACTTCTTTTATTGAGTAAAGACTCATCCCGTGATCAATCTCCAGTTTGAGTATGCAGCTTCGTCATAATACATTGGTTGATTTTAATGTTTAAATGAAACTAATATTACTTAATAGTTGAACAAAATACCGTTATACCTATGTAGTTAAAATTACAATGTTAAGGAAAGTCAAGTACTGTACTCGTAGATATACCTAGATATACTCGATACTTTGCCGTTAGGAACCTAGATCCGCCTACGTGATATGATAATGCGTTAACTAGACTCGCGTTAATTGCATTATCTAGTGTCCATTTATTTGGTATATATGTAGGTACATCATTGGTTGAAAGTATCCAAAGTACGCTCACGGCAAACGACTTGTAACCTTGGTACCTGTACCGCGGATATTTTACAACTGGGTTTTACACGTCTTTCCGCAAATCCTTATTACTCTGCCGACCCATTGTACTTTGCAAATATTGTTATAGAACATAACAATAAACATAAATGACCGCGATTCACGTCTTCGGCATTTATTGAACACGCATCGCGAATTGTTATTTGTGATTGCATGAACCTGTTTCATCCAATAGTAGTAAAATACCTAATGCACAATGTTTTTGTTTTTATGCAGCCGATGAACTTTTCCATAAGGTGCATAATAACAAAAATGAATAAATATTCCATAATTGTACTGAGACAAGTGTAATCATGTCGTGATGGTCATATAATTATTGATTGAGAATATGATATCTAATATAACTTTAAAATTATCCTTTAAAACATTTCAGCAATTCCAAAAGTCGTCAATAGATTTTAAATTAATAAATACTAGTGAATCGTTTACAGACTACATGTAATGTAACCTACAACATAAAGTGTATAATCCAAATCCGATAACAAAACATTCTATACTATGAAACTCATGAACATCAGGACGCGCCGTGGAAATATCCAGATGATAATGAGAAACGGGCGTTGAACGCTGCATTATCCTCGAGAGGGCAAAAGGTGCTGTGATATGATAGCTAAGAGCTGACAAGTGTGGTCGAGGCCGGGAGCCCGGGAGAGGTGGCAGTCTCTAGACGTCGTATTCAGTATACAATCGCGCGCCACAAGTGTTGCGCGCACGCAGCCGTTCACTGCAACAGAACCCGCAGTTATCGGACTCTGTCTTATCGATCGCACCTTCCGCTCCTTCGATCGCCGCGGAATTCTATATGATGGATGCTAAATGCCGCGTCGACATCTGAATGTTAGCCGAATTGGAAAGTAGGTACTTTAGTGCATAAGTGCGGGATGCAGTCATAGAGGGCGCCGTCCAGACCGAACGGCGCCTGTGACCAACCCATGTGCACTTGCCCTATATTTGTGTCCAACGAGATAACGTGATGTGACAACGATACGTGTTGTGCCAGTGGAATAGTTTTGTGAAAGTGTGCATTTAGCGTGAGTGAGTAGTAGGCTGCCGGCGTGGCCGGCACCCCGTGACAATGTTGAATTGCACCGATCTGGAATGCATTCTGCATCATCACCATTACTATGCGCACCTCCATCATATTCATCACTTACAAAATGCCCAGGATTCAGGTGAGTTTCATATGTATATGTGCATACATTAGCAATAAATCATTCATTTTGACGGCTTACGTAGTCACAGTTTAAGAACAATGAAGAAAATAAGACACAGTGATAACAATGATATTGTCATAAGAGTGAATGTTAATGATAACAAATAGTGACTTGGTGTAGGCCTTGTCTACATCCTTGATTGACTTAGGTATGTTGTGAGCATTATATTTGTTGATGAAACGTGAGATTTAGTTTTTGCGATGATCGTCTAGGTTGATCTTGACCTTTGAACAATGTAAACGCAGATTGGGTACAATGGAAACAATAATGTTTGCGCAGTTCGTTGTAATACCAGCAGGTGTTAGTGGTAGATATCACGCAACGCACCGGCCTGTCGTTTTCACTCTGTTAACTCACTTGCTACGAGCGACTTAAAACCTGCCCGACGCGACGCGGACAACGCGAAATGGTCGAAATATTTGTACAAACAAATGTTCCTCGTTTTCTCTTTCGACTTAACTCGAACGGATTGAGTGATGTGTGTGTTGAAGTTTATTAATTAAATTGCAAATAGATTTATTTAGTATCAAATTAAGATATAGATAGTAATGTTTTGGAATACGTTGTATAAACTGAAAGTGTAAATACAATTAGTGAAACTGACATTACACCAAATTGGATAGTTGCTTAATGAGATGATGTAATTAGTGTACAAATATGAAAGCAGACGATACCTCATAACTTATGCCTAAATACTTTAATATGTATTTCATAAGTTATTTAAAACGTTGTTGGAAATTAAAATTATTGTTAACACAACATTTGTGTAAATATACTGGTGTGTAGTAGTGTAACAACATTCCACAACGTCCTCGCCTGGTATTGTCACTCATATCAAATCATTTATCTCTTGTGACAACAGATTGTGAGTTCGAAGTTGATAGGTTTGGCGTTATATACAATACAGTTGTGTAATTTATTGATATTGGCAAAAAAACAGTAATATCATATTTCTAGCTATCATACTTTGCTGTTTACGATATACCTACTCACTCATAGATAGTCATAAGGATTAGTCCCGAGCTAGCCTTATATGTATATTGATCATTTACATTTACCATATTTAAGGTCGTCGTTCCATCTAGGATCATATCATCGAGTATCGCACTCTGTTTAGGAATCTACTAGAATTCTTTTTCCATCAGTTGTAGATTTAAAACGCAGATATTGATTTATTGACACTTTTTCTTTACCTGCTGAGCTATTTGCAATAGACATGGTAAGTAATGTATAACGAAGAACGAAGCAGCAAATAGCTGAGCAAATCCCAACACTAGAAATATTAGAAATCAAATTAAAATCCATTAGGCCAGTGTCTAATAGTGACTACAACTACTCCAAAAAAAAAATTAGGTAATAAAGTCACTACACAATTAGTCATAGAAATCTTCAGTAAAGCCGTCTAGATTGACCCTGTCTCTAGGATCTTAGATAGTCTCTGGCCATTATTTAAATCTCGATGATGTAACATAAAGGATATGCATTGATGTAAAATCGAAGACAACTCAATAACTGACAATAATATACAATGTTTATTAAGTCAGTAACCTCATTAGATAAGCAAATTTACATATGCTTGTGCGTGGCTACTCATCTTATCTGTTTTGCTGTCTTCATAGTATCATTTAAATATTTTTAAGTAAGTTATGTCGGCATTTTTGGTAAATTGGCAACCCGACTGCATATATTAGGGATATATAAGAAGATTAGATTATTAGAATTAGAAACACTTAAATACATTTGTTTTTGTAAATACATATTTCATATAGTACACAGAAAACATATATGAATATTCTCATCGTGCGATAAATTGAACTCGCGACCATCGGTAGTAAAGCGATGTGGTAAACCGCTAGACCACTGAAGCCGTCAAACCATTTCTTTTACTTATGTTAAACTCTAAAAATACTCTTACTGTTGTCGTACTAACTACAGAATTATTCTAATGGACTAAATTCTAAATGTACTTATTTTAATCTAAATATAGATAATGAACATGAGTAGTCAACCGACCACTGACAAGATGTTTTTCTTTTGAATCACAGGTTTATTATATTATTGGAACAATGCTCAATGTGTTTCTAGATCACAACACTATGCCGTGTATATGTACAATAATAATAACAAAAAGTGTAAATCATTCAACAGTATCTATGACAAATGTTGATGATGATAAAATAAAAGAGATGCAGGCGTATAAACCTATAGATTGAGGATTAGTACATGAATTTGTTGCCAACTAAGATATTACTAGTTAAGACTTCCACTTTGTTCGAGTTTTCGTATTTGTTTAATAAAGCAAATATTTTATACTTATTTCGTTCTTGGTATATAACTATTAAAGTTGATCGTCATCGTCATCTGATTCTTCCTTATCCCATATATTTGGGGTCGGCGTAATATATTTTTTTTTTCCATTTATCCCTGTTCGCAGACATTTCGTAACTATTAAAACTAGAAGCAATTTATATCAGTATTTGTTTAAATTAGTTAAATAGATGAAATATACAAAGCTAAATGTGGTTATAAGCATTAAACTATGTGTAGTTTTATACATTACTCATGTGGTACGTAAGGTGAATAATGAACATGGTAACTGGATTCTAGTCAATAATTCCACTTTGTTATTCTGTATATATGTTCCTATTAAAGAAACCTTTTCTATCGATACACTACTAATATAGATAGGACTTTTTACTTTAATGATATTTGAAGTTTTGCTATTTACCTGTGAGTTATTCACAGGTAAATAGAAAAAATTCGAATATTACTTAAATTTTCTTGGGTTATTATTTTTCATAAGATATATATAGGCTCGTATGTATATTATATATGAATCAATACAAATACTAAATTTATTTTTGCACATACTTATCATTTGCGTCATGTCCAATTTCATACAATATATCAAATTCACCCACGCCTATTCCAAAGACTCATGTATATACTGACTTGTGAATACGTTAAAGATAGTATCTACCAGTTATCTATGCGTATGTTACTACCGGATTCTTCATTGTGGTATACTGTACATAACCTCACGTTAAATTTCATTAAGATACATTCAGCAGTTTAGTTGTGAAAAGGTGACAAATATAAACACAATCACATATAATACTGTATGGATGTAAGCAAAATTTAGACCAATTCAATCTTATTAGGTATATAGAAATATATAATTGTTTAAAAGATAATAACTAATCAAAATTTTGTTGTCCTTAGTAAAATGATAAAAAAAAACATCAACTTGTGTATGTCGACTCTTGCATGTAAAATAGAATTTATTTTTATAGTATATTTTAAAATAGTCGCTTTCTATCTTTGTATATTATATGAAAAAGCAACATATTACTCACTTTATATTAAAAGTCGAAACAAAATAGTTCAAAGAAGTCGTTTTGTTTGTTTTTTTCTGCTAGAAGCAAACAAGTTGGCGCTCTGTCTGATGGAAAGTAGTACCGTGGCTAGTAGACACAAACAGGACCACGGATATTAAAAAATGTACTCAACGTGGTACACCTCAGTAAGACTACTTAGTGTAGAGCGACGGTATGTTATAAATTCACACTATTTAAAAGTAGTAAGTTAGAAATTAGCCGTTGTATTAATTATAACCCGGATATTTACAATTTAACATTAACATACGGAAATAAAACTGCTTGATAATTTCCGATTTAATTTATATCAATACACTGCTATGCAAATATATCATAGTGTAGTGTTGTATCATTATGAATAAGTATAACTAATAATTATACCATTTAAAAAGCTATAGATACTATAATAGTAATAATAATATCCCTTAGATATATAGGTGTATTTGTATAATACTGCCTTATGTACAACTCTTGTTAATGTTAATTAAGAAGGCTAAGTAATTTTCCAATTGCTCAGTGATAAATTGTGAATTCCGGTTCCTATATCTAATGATTACTTATTTATATATTTAATACATACATATGTTTGTAAATTATATGTATGGATACACATGACTCTACAATGTACAGTCATGCGTATAAATTGTTGCATATCTATTCCTGTACAGTTCACGATTTGATAAATAGAAAGATTGTACCGTCTGTACATTGATCCATCTGTTTGTCGACTTTAAGTTATAGAATATGAGATAAGAAAAGAAATAGATACATGACGCTAAGAATAGAAAAATATATAGTTCAGATATGTAATATTAAAAAAATAATGTAGACAAAAATGTTTTTATTATTATTTTATTAATTAAGGCATTTTTTGTATTGTGTATGAGTATTTTCTATACACCAGAAGAAAAGTGAAATACATTTCTCGCCCCTATTGTACTGTGATTGAAAACTTACGTTCAACATAATATCACTGAAAATAGTGCATAGTTTAATAAAAATCTGAAATTTAAGTATATCTTAGATAATTATCTAAAGTAGTATTGAGACAAATTGTAGATAACATATTGTTTCGAAAAGTAAATATTAAATTTGATATTAATTTAGCCTTTTTAGTAGTGTTAACGACCGATATAGTAATTATTTTATACATATCAGTACGCTGCCCGAGGTTTAATTATGTCATAATTGTATACTTACTTGTAACTGTACTAGAACAAATTATGTTCTCCAACTCATGAAAAATAACCTAGTTCCATAAGTTAACAATTATTTAACAAACTATGGTGTGGTGACTTATTGCAACTTATTGCAAGCATTTTTATGTACGTGTTGTGTAATACGTCACGCTTGTAATAATACATAATATATTGTTGTTTAGTAAAGTAGTTTTTAACAAGACCACAGCAATTTGACACAGTGGAGTTAGGAATTTTTATGCATTTAAATAATGGGAAAAAATCCTAGGTATAGTATAAGAAAGTAGCCGAGAACATAGTCGATACTATAGGGAACGTAACACTTGTCATACCCACAGTCGCTGGGTAGCCTAATGCCATCTCTCAGTTAATTTTTGGTTTG